TGCTTTTCCCAAGGTTGCGGCTCCGGGAAGGAGGAGGGTCGCCCGTGGGGCCGTTTGGGGCAGACGGGCCGGTTTCTCGGGAATAACCGGCCCTTTGGCTCCCCGCAGGGTTCCCATGCCAGGCGGATGAGGCCGTTGCTCCGGCCTTGTTCCCCCTTGGCGCTTCCCGTTTTCCGGGCTCGGCCTCCGGAGCATCCCCGGCTGCGGCCTCCTGCGGCGCAGAGGGAGCCGGGGCCTTTCCTGGATCACGGGGAAGGAGCCGGAATGTGGCGCATCCCGGGGAGCCCCGCTCCCTACCTGGAGCAGCATCCCGGGCATCCAGCGCCCGCTCCGGAGCCGCTTCTGCTCCCAAACACCCCAAAACCGTCAGCGGCTCCGAGAGCCCCGGGCCGCCCCTCGCTCTGCGCCTGCTCCGCGACACCCGCGTTAATTGGGTCGTGTTTCCAGGCCGCTCTGGGAGCACCGGGAAGGATGCAGGGGGGACAGGGACGATGCTCCGGAGCCCAAATGGGACAATCCATGAGCGGAGCCCAGGACTCGGTGACCGGAGCGTCTCCCACGGGCCGCTGCCCCTGTCCTTATGCCCAGCATTCCTCGGCATCAACCCCCACATCCCTCCGTCATTCTCGCCCGACATTCCCCCCAGCATCCCACCGTCCTCCCGCATCCCCAACACCCCTGGAATCCCGCCGGGCTCTTTGGATGCACAGCCCTTATCAGCCACTAGAGAAGCGCCGTCCTCCCCAAGGCCAGGGCTGGGCTGAGACCGGGCAGCTCGTGTCACCCCAGCACCCGGATCCGCGGCAGTGTCACCCTCCCCAGCTCCCGGCACACGCGGGATCCCGGGAAGCGCCGCCGGAGAGGCCGAGCCGGCTCCGCTGATGCCGTTTATTCCTGAACAGTCCTGCCCGGCGCAGCCCCCGCGCCGGAGCCAAGGCCTCGAATTCCAGTGGGGAAAGTGCTGGGGGGCCGGGACACCCCCCGGAGCCGCCGCTCCCGCGGAGCAGCCGCCGCTCCCAGCTGGAAAAGCTCAGTTCTGCTGCAGCGGGATGCGGGAATAGCGGGAGCCGGGAATAGCGGGAGCGAGAGCGACCTCCTTCCTCCTCCTCCTCGCTGCCAAGGCTTGAGGGCCCTCGGGCTTCACTATCGAAATGGGACCCTGCGGCGCTGTCCCCAGGGCCACCCATTCCCGTGGTGCATCCCTATGGGGTGCATGCAGCCCTGGGTGCACCCCAGCCCATGCTGCATCCCTATGGGGCGCATGCAGCCCCCCAGGGTCACTCATTTCTGCAGGGCATCCCCATGGGGTGCATGCAGCCCCTCATGGACACCACACACACT